CGCGGCCTCGGCCCCGGAAGCCGTCTCCGCGCCGAAGCCGCCGGGAGGCGCTGCTCACCGTCCCGCCCGCCTCCGCGTTCGCTTCCTCCGGACGTTGGTCGGCTCCCGCGGTGGGAGGGGAGCGGAAAGGGCCGCCTGAGGTGTTCGCGCGCCCCAGGCAGTGCCTGGCCCCGGAGGAGGCGAGGAGAGGAGGACGGTGTCCGACACACCCGGTCGTAAGGCCCACGCGGGGTGCGCGTCCCCCCGGAGAACGCGGGGCCTCAGCTCTGCGCCCACAGACGCGGGGGAGGAGGAGGACGGCGGCGGGGCGGGGCCGGGGCCGCCACAGACAGCTTTGGGGCATGACCACGGGCGGGAGACGGTCAACAAAGAGAAGGTATTTGCTTTGCTCGAAACAGAGCAAGTGTGCTTCCAAAGAGGGCTCAGAAGGACCGGGAACCACGCTCTCCCCATCCCTCCGGCAACACGGCGCGCAGGCGTCTTGCTCGGTCAGCACGGGAGGCAGGGCCGACAGCAGCTTCCGAAGCTGGCCACAGTGGGTCCTTTGGACAGTGGGACTGTCTGCTCCTGAGGGCCGGCCAGCCAGAGGGGGACATTAGTAACGAGTGTGCTCAAGCTCACAGGTGCAAAGATGGCCACACCTGGCCTGCGGATGTCACCGCTAAGCACCCTCCAGTAAACTCGCGAGGAGACTTTTCACGCTCACAAAGCCGTCACCTCGGAGTAAGGCAGAGACGGCTGCGTTCGTGTGCTCCCACATGAAGTCGTCAGCCTCGGCCAAGCGCTGCACAGACGACCTGGGATGGAGCACGGGGCAGAACCCGGACTGACCGGATGACAGCTGGCAGGCAACTTGGCTGTGCCCAGCGGAGGGGCCGCCGCAGAGAGACCACCTGGCTCCACCAGGAAGGCAGGGTACGCTGGAGTGCAGACGGCCGAGGAAATGAGGGAGAGTGGGAGGGCGCGGGAGATGTCGGCGTTTTGTTCACTTTACTAAGACTGTATCTCAAATTTGAAAGTTTAATGTTTTCATTTCCCATGCTCAAGAGATATCATACTGTGTTACTAAAAACAGCAAGTTAAGTAAGCAAAAACTCATTTGTTCTGGTTACACTATTTCATGTATCGGAAAATAATTGTGAAAAGAAATATTCAGTCTGTTGGAAGCATCAGTCACTGTTCTGGAACAAATTGTGCCTAATATGATTTAACAGGCTTCACAACATTCCACAAATGACCAGTGTAAATGAGACCGAGACTGAAACCAGCAAAATGACTCTGCATTTGTTTAAAACGTTGGTGTTGGTCCCCTCAGCGACATAGCAGCGCCTAAAGTGACCGTGCATGGGTAAATGGTCACCAGTGGCAGTGACTGCGCATTCACACCGGTGCGGAGCTAATATCCACGTATTTTCCTCCAGTTCAGCTTGGGTGAGTGGGGCCCCTCACCCCAGAGGCCCCAGGGTTCCTGAAGAACTTTCCCAGCCCTTCCTCAGAAACACTCCGGTCTGTTCTCTGCTGTGCCTTGGGGTAACTTCCAACAATCACCTCAACAAAGCAGAATTGTCAGAAGTTTTAAAAACAAAAACCAGAAATTAAACTGCGTTAAAGGTGACCTCAGCTTTGACCTCCAGCACTAGGTTTCCTGAGAGCCTAGAAAATTCTGCCTAGCAAACAGAACATTGCAGAGGCACCAGGAGAAACAGCTCCTGTCTCATCGATCCTGAGGGCTCCCTGTCTTGGCTTCACTGACTGATGTGTGGGAACACCCCATGACCCCGGGGGCCACAGCCGCCACACTCGTGAGCTCAGCAGCTCCATCCTGAGATAAAACCAGGCCCTGGTCAACAAGGACTGCAGCCTGTGAGACCTGATGAAACGCCCCAGGAACTGGGCATCGGGAGACAAATCCACAGTTTCTGCTGTGTTTCCTCATCGGAGCACCAGGAAGGGCCTGGAACAAACAACACTGAGGAGAAGTTTCCTCAGATGCAGAAAAGTGATGGGAAGGGAAGATGCATTTTAGGCCAAATTGTTTCTACCCTGTGGAAACACAGCTCTAGAACCCATGCCTTCCTCATGAGTTGCTGATGCTGGGACAGTTTGTGCCACTGTGGCAACTCATGGTCCAGGGAATAAAGTAGTCAGATTTAGCAAATAAAAATAGGAGCTGTCCAACTGAATTTTAAACTGCCTATGAACAGTGAATACGTTCAACATCCCTATGCCTCAAGGATATTCTGTATTCATCTGAAACGTGGCTGTAACTGCTGCCAGGGCCTGAATTTTGTCCACATTGAACTCCTCATCCTTGTGGTGACTTGGTTTGCAACAGGGCTTTAGGTAGTAATGAGGGTGAAGTGAGGGTGGAAGGGTGGGGTCCTGAGCTAAGAGGCTCAGAGGACTCAGGAGAGGGGGAAAGAGAGAGTGACCCTTGTCTTGTGCACAGACCTGGGAAGTCCATGCAAAGGCGGCCACGGAGCCCGGAGACAACCTCACTAGGAGCAGTGAATCTGCACCGGGGTCATGGACTTGTGCCTCCAGAACACAAAGAAAAAGCTGCTGAGGTGCAGCCACCGAGTCCATGGTATTCTGTCTGCAGCTTGAACTAAGGCAACCTGATCCCTGGGTCTTACTTGGTGGCCCTCATGGGAAGCCGGGTATGAGTGAAGGAGGAGGAAGACAGGGTCTGAGACCTGACACCTGCAGCGTCCAGAGGCCGTCTTCCAGCGCTGGCTTCTCCCTTCCTGCAGCCAGCCGTGCTCTTCAGGGTCTCTGGGATTATCTGGATTTCTCGGAGCATGTGTTTGTGTGGCCGTGTGTCTGTATGTGTGTATCTGTGTGTGTATACAGTCTCTGTCTGTGGTCTGTTTGTGTATCTGTGTGTGTGTGTGGCCACGTGTGTCTGTTTCTATGTGTGTGGCCATGTGTGGCTGGAAGAAGACCTCTAGGCCATGAGGTAGCGCCAGCTGCATGCTGGGTCCGGCTGCCCTGCTCGTGCTGCTGAGCGCAGCGACCTGCTATCCAAAGGATGCTGGGCCACCTCCGGCCAGGCTGCTCTCCCATCCCCCGGCTTCAGGAGTTTTCGCACGGCACTACCTGTGCCAACAGACACAGCCCACTGATCCCTGACTCCATCCGTCCTGCTGTGCACTCACAGAGGGGCTTCTCCTCAACTGACTGCACCTGCATTGTGCGGCAGGCAAACTGGAGCTGGGCACCTGGGGGAAAAGCTCGTTCTGGGGAAGCCAGCCAGGAAGGAGAGGAGCTTTAATGTAATAACACTGAGGTGTTCTGTGTACAGGAAGTGGGCCACAGGAGAGGTGCAGTCCTCAGGGAAATGTGCAGCTTGTCTCCAGGAGACAGCTAACCTTTGTGGGGACATGTGCACCACAGCCACAGCACGGCTTGTCACCTGTAATTTGTCATCTGCATGTCACCCGTATGTATGGTATGGTGACAGCTAGAATAGAGGTGTCCACGGCCACCTCCATCCTCAACCCAACCTCCACACTTGTAAGATTGATAGGGCAAGAGAAACTCCATTTTTCTTGTTTTACATTCATAGTAAGAGAGGTCTCTTAAAGTTCACGTAAGCTGTAGTTGACACCCCCACACCTCAGTCATCCTATCAACTTGCTTAAAAGCAAAGCAAAGCCATAAATTGGGAACAGAACAAATTGGGAAGTAGGTTAAAGGACAACCCACTGTGGTCATTGGCATTTTGGTTGTCTGACCTCCAGGGAGAAAGGTAAACATTGTGCTAATTATGTGATGCTCTTGTGAGATTCCTGACAATGAAGTAATGGTTACTATAGAAACCTGAAATGTACTAAACCAAAAGTGAGTCCCAGAGCAGCATGGACATCTTCTCTGACTCCAGGTTAGAGGGGAACTGTCAGCTGCTGTGCTGGTTTGGGGCTTATTTTTGCAAGGAGAAACAATACAGGACAGGTATTTTATAATATTATTTATAATAGTCACCCAAAGAACGGTATACAAAAGAGTGCAGGAAATCTGTCCACAAACTATACACCAAGGAATCCAGCTGATGGCCCGAATCCCACAGAAATGTGCTACATGAGTCCAGCTGAATACCTGGAGCCCATAACAATGACTCCCACGAATCCAACTGGAGGCCCAGAGCCCATAACAGTATCTCATGCAGGCCTGGTTTGAACTGTGAAGGCCCAAAGTCAGTGGTGGAGTCTAGGAGGTCTGTGCCAGCGGGATGAAGGATCTGTGCTAGCAGGTTGAGGGATCTGCACTGGAGCCAGGAAGCGACAGTCAGAGGAACCAGAGCTCTCCCAGAAGGTAACACAGCCATCCTCATCAACAGCGAGGTCTCGAGCTCCTCTGATGATCAGGAAAGCTGAGTTCCTGTCAGGGAAACCAACACAGCAAACTTCTTCAGGAGCCTGCGCTGTGCGCCTTCCCCTCTGGAGCCAGGAGGCGACGCTCAAAGTGAGAACCAGAGCTCCCCAACAGTGAACTGAAGCTATTCTCAGTGCCAACAAGGTCCCTAGCTCCTCAGAGGATGAAAACAGCTGAGTTCATCAGGAAAGCCAGCATGACGAGCTCCTCCAACAGAACCAACAGCTCCTTACAGCTTCTACCGGCTCCCAACAACCTCTCCTCTTCTTCTCCAGTTCTGCCTCCTTATGCTCTGGTAACAGTCCCCAGGTGGGCCTCCCACACCCAGCACCACGCTTACTCAGTTCAGCTGGGGGTTATAAATTGACCACCAGTTGTCAATCTGCTACAGCTGGCTCCAATAAAGCTTTGTTTGTCCATGCTTTTTGGTTTTCTTGTGAGTGTCTTTCTCCATGGACTCGCTTGCCATAACAAGATCAGAGTTCAACTCACAAAACCAGTTGTTCTCAGGAAAAGAAAAACAAACACGGACGTTTCCCTCCTGCTGGCTCTGAGGCCACAGCTTACAACTCTAAGCTCCCTGCACAGGGGACATCTGTGAGGGAGGCCAGGCGAGGACAGCCAGGAGCAGGGGCTCTTCAAGGACGGCAGAGAGCATAGGCGAGAGTGTGGAGAAGGCACAGCCCACAGGCGACCCAGAGGCCAGCAGCCTCCGAACTCCCTGTGGGCACAGGAGAGCTAGTTCGTCACGGTAAGTGATAATCTCTGGGTTGCTGGCTTCACATGCTGCTGTTCACACGTATGAGTGGCACCACTGATGTTGGAGACCTCATGACCCGCTGACCACTCTGTCCAGTACACGGCAAGGAGATGTGCTTGAAGATGGCAAGTCTGATTTGGGCAGCTACAGAGAAACTGAGTTTATGGCTGTTAAAGAGCTGATTGAAAGACCACCTTCCCCAGCCCACCCCAGGACGAGGAGGCAGGGAAGGGCCTCCTCGAGACTGCCAAGAACAGAAGCCTTCTGCACCCTTGGCCCTGGCTGGGGAGCAGAGAAGAGGCTGGATGGACCTGGAAATAAATAAGCAAAGCCCATGCAGCACCTTCTCCCTAGGTGCATAGACTGCACTGGAACCAGCAGCCCCTGGCATCAATTAGAGGTTGCTCAGGAACCTCAGGTGTGCAGCAGATCTGTGAGGCAAGGAGCGTGGCATTCACGTTTATCAAGGACCTGGGTGCAAACCCCTAAGCCAGAAGCTGGGTGACAGAGGCTGAAACAAGTCTCTTGTATGCTGCAGGCACTGCTTCCAGCGCCCTCCAGGCATTGTTTTACCGTGCTCCACACCTGCCTGATGGACTCGGCACCACGCTACTGACACTGCACACCCTAGTGAACAGTGCATGGGGCTTCCTCTGCTGCCCACAGCACAAGCTGCTGATTTACCTCAGGTGACTCTCACCACGACCTCCATCCTCAAGGACTCCAGGGGCCAGTGGCAAAAACACTGATTACTGAAAAAAGCAAAGCAAAATAAATAAAAGGTGCTAACAGTAGTGGTGCACACTTGTAATCCCAGCTCTTGGGAGGCTGAGGCAGGAGAATCACCAGGAATTCAAGGCCAACCTGAGCTACATAGTAAGACCTTGGCTCAATAAATAAATAAATAGGTAAATGAATAAAGGGCTACTATTGCTGGGGTAACCCTGGGAAGTTGTAAAGGAAGACTTGTGGGGAAAGTAGCCCAACACACAGGAGAGAGAGAGACACAGGCAGCACCGAGGACACTGCGGAGTGGGGAGTAGATGGCCACTTTGGGTCTGCGGCAGCCACACTCAGGCTGCCCAGCCCTCAGACCACACACAACCGTGCCCTGGACCACTGCTCCTCATTTAAACATTTCTGGACAGCGGGACGCCAGTGTCTAAGCCCGTGGTGAGGGATTCTTTCATGCAGTATAGAAGGGACAGTGTATTTCTTATGAGCAGGAACAGCGTCTTATTTTATCGCTCATAACTCTGCCCTACACAAATCCAGTATTCAATTGAGGAAACTGAAATAGCTAATGAAGACAATTCATGCATAGGAAAATATAAAGCCACATTTTGGTTACATAGCTTAGAAGGACTCATGGAAAAGTGATCGTTTCCGTAGTGAATACTCCGCTTTGATTCTGTGCAGTGTCTTCCCCGTGAATCGCCAGCACCCTGTGTCTCCGGGAGCAGAGTCAGGAAACTCACGGAGCTCCTTCCACAGACATCCCCCGAGGAGCCAGTGTGTGAGGAGCAAGGAAATGAGGGCCAGGCTCCCACAGGGCTGGGCCGGCAGAGAGCCTGGGGTGGGGACGCAGTCTGAGCTGGAGAGAAGGAAAGCAGAGCCCTCCAGTCCCGGGGCGGGGAGGACACACTGTGAGCTCGTCAGGGCTGAAGTAAAGGGCGGTAGTGAAGCAGTGCGGCTTGCAATTCTAGAACATTCATTTCCTGCGTTGGCTGGAACAGCAGAGCGAAGGAGCGGAGAAAGCTCTTGGTCAGGTGCCCGGAAGGGCGGGAGGGGCCGGGAGGGAGCCCGGGCTGTGCAGGGGGCTGTGCAGGAGGGTGGACGTGCAGAGCCCAGGGCCACGGCCTTGTTCACTCCAGCGAGAGCGAGGGCCGCAGCATCTGACGCCGGATGAAACTCCCGCCAGTGCCCCCAGTCTGCAGCACAGACAGAAGGGAAGTCTACGTCCTCAGGCTGCGTTTCAGGAGGTAAAACGATGCGGGAGAAAACTGAGCTGGATGAAGAATAAGACTATCGGTGCGACAGGAGAGTGCTGGTGATGGTGCTCCTGGAGGAGGAACGCCTACTCAGCTCTGAGCTTCCCAGTGCCAGTGCAAGGGGAGAAACAGAGTCCGCTGCACGAGGGTGCGGGGTCACGGGAGAAGCACTGCCCAGGCAGAGACGCGAGGTGACCCTGGGCCTTTCTGCAGCACCACGCTGTGTGATTGAGTGTAAAAGCCATGTCCAATGTGCAGCCCGATGCTGCTATGTGCACACTGTGGAGCCGTCCACACCAACCAAGCTACCCGGTCCATCCAGGTTCACCTGGCTGCCGGGTTTGGGTCTGGGCTGCTCCTGGCAGATCTCAGGAAGGCTGGGGTCTGTCTAGAGTGACGCTCCCCTCCGTGAGTCTGAGAAACGCCTGTCCTGGGTGGAAACGCTCCCGGGAAAAGCAGCGTGCCGGGTGGTCTGCTCTCCTTGCACACTCTGAACACACCAGCCCAGGCTCTCTCTGCTGCACACTTGCTGCAAGACATCCCCACGGCCTCGTGGAAGTTTCGTGTGGGAAGGGTTTCTTTGCTCTTGCTGCGTTCAGAATCCTCTTCTTGCCCTCAGCCTTGGCAGGTGACTACAGGGCGTACCCGTGGAGTCCTCTGTGGGGATTTTCGAGCGTTCTCTGAATGTCTGTCTCCCCGACTGAGGAAATCATGGACCTCTCCCTCAGATGAGGTGAGCTCTCTGTCCCTTCCGTGCTGTCTTCTGAAGATCCGCAACGGAAGGCCCAAAGACCCTGTGGGTTCTCCATTCCTCCTCCTTTTCTCTTCTGCTGGACTCTCCAGCACCTGTCTCCCAGCTCACTGATTCTCCTTCCCTGCGCCAAGTCTGTCCCTGACACTCTGATGCGCTCTTCGGTCAGGAGCCACGTTCTTCAGCGCTAACATTTCTGTCTGGCTCTGTCGTGTGGGTTTTTAAGAAATTTATTGTTGAACGTCTCATTTTGTTCTTTCATTGCTTTCCTCGTTGTGTTACACGGGTTATCTGTGTCCTTATAGCCCAATGAGTTTTTACAACAATTATTTGACTCCTGTATCTGGCATTTGTGAAACCCCTTTCTTTGGGGTTGGTTTCCAGAAGCTGGCTGTGTCGTGTCGCTCTGGCCGTGTCACGTTTCTCTGATCCCTGTGATGCCCGCGGACTTGCGCGAGCGTTTGCACACTGGAGGCATGCTCCAAACCCCGTGGCTTTGGTGAGACTTCCATCGTGGGGGAGAGCGCCGGGTACCGAGTGTGGGACAGTGTGTGCCCGGGTTTAAGGGGCACGGCGTCGCGGGCACAGGAGCCTGCGGCCGAGGGGCGGGTGGGGCGGACCGGGCGGCGGCTCAGGCGCGGAGAGAGCCAAGGAGAACCCAGCTGCGGGCGCGCGCCATAGGACTCCCGGGCTCCGCGGTGACGCACTGAACACCCTGGTGCCTGCGCCCTCGGGACAGAGCCTGCAGCCAGGGAGAGCTTCGGCCCTCGGAGCCGTGGGAGTCGCCCGCAGCAAGTCCCTGACTGGCAAGGGTGTTTTGAGTCCATTTCAGTGGGAAGCATAAGGAAAGCACTGCGGCTCTCTGCAGGCTCTGACAGATTCGAGGCCTGCTGTTTCCCGTCGGTGCGGGTCGGTGGCCGGGCCTCAGACTGCAAGCTGCGGGGCTGCGGGTCCCTGAGGAGCGCGGTGGCGCCCAGGCCCGCGCGGGTTTGCCTGGCTCCAAGGAGCTGCGTGCAGGAAGCACACCCTTGGCCCTTGCGCTTGTCTGCCGCAGTTTCCAGCGAGCCCCCTGGATGGGCGGCAGTGAGGGGCACACGCAGCTGGGGGCGGTGGGAGATTCCAGGGAAGATGCGAGGCCTGTCCACCTCAGCCGTTCTGGAACCTGGTGCAGCCGTGGCTGCTTTTCTGGAACACAGTGTGGCCGCCACCACTCTGGATCATGGTGCTCTCGGCTTTCTCCTCAAAGTCTTTCACTTTTGCAGTTTGAGGTTGCAA